GATCTAGATTTGTTAAATGGCTTGAAGCCATGAAATCTAGATGGACTCCATGTACCAAACCAAGTATGGTCTCTGGTTGAACCCTAAAGGGGTAAAACCCATAGGGTGTAAATGGGTCTCAAGAAGAAGATGACGTGGATGGCAAGGTGCATACTTATAAGGCACGATGGTTGCCAAAGGTTTGAAATAAATTCAGGTATTGACTATGAAGAAACCTTTCGCCAGTTACCATGATTAAATCCATCGGATATGTTTGCGATTGTTGATATTATGACAATGAGATTTGGCAAATGGGTGTCAAATAGCTTTCTAAATGAAAACCTTGAAGAGGATATGTTATGACACAAACCTGTGGTTTCGTTCTTGATGGGCAAGCTAATAGGGCATGCAAGTTGCAGAGATCCATTATGGACTCAAGCAAGTCAAGGGCTAGAACATTCGTTTTGTGAAGCCGTAAAAGAATTCGGTTTCATCAGAACGAAGATGAACCCTGGGTTTACAAGAAGAGTGGGAGCGCAGTGGCATTCCGGTGTTGTATGTCGATGACATACTTTGATAGGAAATGATATACCGAACTTCAGTGCGCAGTAAAGACTTGGTTATCCAAGTGCTTCTCATGAAGGACTTAGGGGAAGCAGCCTACATCCTTGGAAAAAAGATCTATTGTGATAGATAGCGTAGGTTGTGGCCTAAGTCAAAGTGCATATATTGACAGAGTACTGAAAAGATTCAGTATGGAAGAAATCCAAGAAAGGATTTCTTTTGATGTCACATGGTGTGTTATCTCTCTAAGGAAATGTGTCCTATAAACAAAAGATGAGAGAGATAGGATGAGGAGGATCCCATATGCATTAAACATTGGGTCCATCATGTATTCCATGCTATGTACTCGGATAATGTCTCATGTGCTTTGAGCACTTGTAGTAGATATCAATCAGATCCAGGTGAGCGTTATTGGGATGGCTGTTAAGAATATTCTTAAGTACCTGAAGGTAAGACATACGGATATGTTCTTGGTTTATAGAGGGGAAGATGAGCTCACTATAAGAGGATACAGTGATGCTAATTTCCAAACGGAAAAAGATGATTATCGATCGCAATCAGGGTTTGTATTTTATCTCAATGGGGGTGCAGTAAGCTGGAAGAGCTCCAAGCAAAGCACTGTAGCAGACTCTATAATAGAGGTTGAGTATATTACATTATCAGATGCAGCCAAGGAGGCAGACTGGATTAAGAAGTTCGTTACTGAACTTGGTGTGGTTTCCACGATTATTGATCCAATAGACATCTATTGTGACAACAATGGAGCAATCGCTTAAGCTAGGGAACCACGGTCTCATCAGAAGTCCAGACACATATTCAGACGATTCCATCTCATCAGAGAAATAGTTGAGTGGAAAGATGTGCAGATCAGTAAAGTGCACACTGACGACAATCTCGCAGATCCACTAACAAAGCCTTTGTCGGAGCAAAAGCATGAAAGGCACTTGAGATCTTTTGGTATTAAATACATGAATGATTGGCGATAGTGCAAGTGGGAGACTATTAGAGTGGGTGCCCTAGAGCCAATCAATTATTGTAGATTAGTAATAATATTCATTGATCAATAAAAATGCATTTTATTCTATATCGTGTAAATCATTATTGTATGTATTGATATATGTCCTTAGAATGGTAGCACGGTGGTGAGGGTATCAAGTGTTTCAAATCTTGATAGTGAGAACCTTATGAGCTTATATGGTGGCCATTCTAGAAAAGTCTGTAGCCCTAGTATTAATTTGAAGTAAGGGCACAGATAATATGGTAAGGCTATCAAAGTGTTGAATGACCCTATCGAAAGGCAGTGACTGATCTCACTTGTCAAGGTTGTTTGGTGACAACCTGGTGTAACACAGAGGTGCTTGCTGTAGGCAAGTTCACTAGACTGACCCACCAGAGGATCCCATATGGATGGTAACCCCAATGTTTATTGAACAAATCCTCTAACGAATGTTGGTGCATGTAATCCTTAGACTTGAGATCACCAGAGTGCCTTATGCACCGATTGGTGCAGTTTGACACTAGCTGAACGCAGTTCTATTTAGAGCTATCAATACGGTAGTGATTGGCTGCATCAAGGAGTGTATCAAGACTGTAGTGGATCGATAGAGGATTCATCACTCCCGAGTACGGGAGAAGTTATCTCATGGCGCAATTCAGTAAATGGCAATTATAACGCCCGCATCGAGGTACGTAGCTTTACTTATGCCCTAATACCCTTAGTTAAATTTTATTAAAGTTATCTTGAAAAAGTGTGAAGAAAATCCCTTAAAATTTCATTAGGGGTAAAATGGTCTTTTCACTCATAATTAGTTGAAAAAGTGGGGAGTGAAAAGAGACTGTAACAACTGCTGTAAACTAGTACAATGCATGCATAATAACAATAGAAAATGGGCCCAAAACTTTTCCTTTTTATTATAAGTCATACGTCTTTTATACACAAAGAACGTCATTTACAAAAATGCCATTTTAAAAGACAAAACAGGGGAAACAGTGTAGCTATTGCTCCTCGCTTGCCGACGCCCCTCCGACTGCATCATCACCTAGATCCTGCATCCACAAAGGAAAATAACGGGGTGAGCACAAAATAATGCTCAGTAAGTAAAACCCTCTATCTGTCTATCCCCGTATGTATTACTCTTAATTCTTTCCTCACACTTTCTGTTGTTTCCTACTAAACGTCATGGCCTCATCTTACCGGAGGTACGGCCGGATGGCGTTCACACAGCACCATCTCACTCTTCATGACTATCGGGTGGAATTCACACAGCACCAACCCGTTCTTAGTGACTACCGAGTGGGGATCACGAAGCACCTACCCGGTTTTCGTAACTATCGGGTGGAGACCACATAGCACCTACCCGTTCCTCATGACTTTCGGGTAACGATCACCAAGCATTAACCCGTTCCTAATCACTGTCGGGTGATGATCACAAAGCATCAACCCGATTCTAATAACTGTCGGGTGATGATCACAAAGCATCAACCCGATTCTAATAACTGTCGGGTGATGATCACAAAGCATCAACCCGATTCTAATAACTGTCGGGTGATGATCACAAAGCATCAACCCCTTTTCTAATAACTAACCGGGTGATGGTCACAAAGCATCCACCCGTTTCTAATACCTATCGGGTGATGATCACAAAGCATCAACCCATTTCTAATGGCTAGTCGGGTGATGATCACAAAGCATCAACCCGATTCTCATAACTGTCGGGTGATGATCACAAAGCATCCACCCATTTCTAATACTCTTCTCATTCACTCTATTCTAGCACTTCTCATTCTCTCTACCCTTAGAGTAGTTGCATCCACAAAGTTCTCTACTCATAGAGCAAGTGCATACACAAAGTTTCCTACTCTTTCTTAGGTCACTTCTCAATGCACAATTAATGCCTATGGATGGTTCATCTCCACTAATGCACTTATGAAATGCCAACATGCAATGTTGCAAGAATTAAGGTTCACTACTCATACTCAAACCTCTATTAGGCATTTCATCAAACAACTCAAGTGCATAATAAAACTCTACTATAACAATAATTCTAAATCTTTCTCTAACCATCCAAAATGGGGAGAAACCCCCTCACATAGCCACATATCCTGCCAAAGAAAGACACTTCCAAAAGGATTCCTCAATCCCCTTCAATTCCATCTCAAACTACCTTTCCAACCCACATCTCACTTCTTACATTTGAAAGGTATAAACAATCACAAAGCACTAGAAATCTCTATTTAAGCCTCAATAACATGGCATATAACATGTATATAACACACATACATAAGTGCTATCAAAACCCTAATCAAGAAAATTCCCAAATCTCAACTTGGGTTGGGGTTTACTTACCTTGTTATGGAGAGATTTCACTAACTCTTCCTTTCAGTTGGTTTGCTTGACTTTTTCTCTACTCTTAAACAAAAGAACAAAAACCCTCAATACTCAATATATACAAAAACTCACAAAGCTTCACAACCAAAGCAAGAATCCTTACCTTAGGATGCCTTAGGTTGATTTTCTACCCCAAATCACTCCAAAAGCCCTTTAAAACTCCTTGATCAAAAGAAAGAGAATTTGAGAGGAAGCAAGAGAAGAGAGTGGCGATGGAGAAGAAGAATGAAGGGTTTGCAATGACTTAATTCCTTTTAATGAAATTTATACACAAGCATTCCCATTTTGTCCTTACTCTTCTTTGGGAATTCTATCTATATCCTTTGATTCATTAGAAACACACCCCCATAGCAACATATTCTCCATGAAAATTCCTTACATTTTACTCCCCACTTTTCCTGCTAATTAGAGGTAGAATGGTCAAATTGCCCTTAGGGAATAAAATATCTAAAACTTAACAAACATTTTGGTCGGCCTGTCGCCACGGCGAGGAAGCTTCTTTCACTGCGGCAAAACTGTCCAGCAGCTTCCCATTGCTTCAACACCTCTTCGCCACGGCGAAGATTCTTCTTCGCCCCGGCGAAGCTTGGAACACTGAACTTCTTCTATTTTCAACCAATTTCAGGGCAAGTATTCAACATAACACTCAATCAAAGTTCAACCAAATAATATTACCAAGAAACCAACTCAAATAAGAGCAAAAGAAGAAACAATAACTACGTACCTCAAGTGGGGCGTTACAGAGATAGAATTTCATGAAGAATGCAATAAAATGAGGGCATTATGGTAATTGACTATGAGACATAGATAGAATTTCATAGAAAGTGCAAGGGTAAAATGAGAAATTACAAATAATAATATGTTATATCAAGAGTTGAAGAATGAAACCCTAGCCATTCTTCCTCCACTTTCACGCCACCTTCATCCCTAAATTCTCTCAATTTCTTCAATTCTTTTGCAGGGGAAATTCATAGATTTTGAGTTATTTTTAGTGGAATTTCAATCCCAAGCATCCTTAGGTAAGATGCTTGCACTAAAAAGTGAGTTTTAATTTTTAAAGTGTTGAATTTTAATGATTTGCCATAGAATCAAATAGCTTTCTTGCATCGTCAATTCTACCTTCCAAGCAATAACCGCTCAAAATTGTGGAATAAGTAATTGTGTTGGGATGAACACCTCTATTAATCATCGGTTGGAGCAATCTATTGGCTTCGTCCATCTTCCCATTCTTACAAAGTTCATCCATTACCACATTAAATTTTTCTACATTAGGTTGTACACCTTCATCCAACATCTCCATAAACAAAGTTTTAGCCTCCTCCCTGTTACATGTATTACACAAACCACAAATTAGAGAGGTGTAAGTAACCACGTCTGGGTTAGTGCCCCTAGTCTTTATTTCTAAAAATAGTTCTTTTGCCTTGTCTATTAACCCATATTTGCAAAGACCATCAATAATACTATTGCAAGTAACAATACTAGGCTTACAAGTGACGCCAAACTCACCCTTCCCACGAAGCATTTCTTCAAATAACTGAAGGGCAACAGTGATATTTCCTGTTCGACACAACCCCGTAATCAAAGTCCTAGATGTAATTACATCAGGCGTACAACCAAGAGAACCCTACACAATTCAATCGCCTTCTTAATATTACCCTTCATACAAAGACCATTAATGAGACAATTAAAAGTCACAGCATCTGGGTAAAAACCCCTCCTAAAAATACTCCCAAAAACAAGCAAAAGGAGTTGATCAAAATGTTTTATCTTAGCAAGTACAAAAAAGAAAACACGGAATGATAAGATAGGAGGAGTGGGGTGCATATGAATCATGTAATCGAATAAATAAAGAGTTTCATCAAGAGAGAAGTTACCAAATCTGTAGTTTACATGGAGAAAATTATGAAGTTGAGCATGGTGTTTAAAAGTATAGGGCGGAAATTTAACTTCCCGGACCTCCCAAGTTTGCATTTAAAAAAATGACCTTGAAAATATTTTTCAATTTTTTTAATTTAGAAAAACTAACGTGGCACACTTAGGATTCATTAAACATGTAAAATAGGTTAAAGTGAAAGGATTTAAACATATCTTGATAATATTATAATTAACGAAAGTTTGTTTAGATTTTGAAAATTGAAAACGACTCCTAGCCTTGAGAAGTTAGAGAAGGATAAGAGAGAGAAATGATTATCCGAAGACGGCTAGCACCTTTCGAGGGTAATGATAGGATTTCTATGGAAATAGTTACATAGAAAATTATTTGTGACATTTTAAGGGTTAAAATGGTCAAGCAATAATTAATTGTATTTAATTATTATCTCTTAAGCGTTAAGATAAATGAGATGAATGTGATGACTCTTTCTAACTTGTATACTTGGGAAATATAGTACATTAAAAAACACATAAACATATAGTAAAAGATAATGGGCCCGAAAATTTCTTTATTTTATATATATAATTCTTACATTAATAAAAATCTCATGTACATAAGCTCAAAAATAGTAGACAGTGGTGCCATTTCCCTCTGCCTCTCGACATCCATCCAACCGCTTCTCACCTATTTCCTACAAAAACAAAGAAATCAATGGAGTGAGCGCTAATTGCTCAATAAGTAAATCTGCTAAACTAACCTTTTCTCTTTGTTGCTCACATTCTAATTTCTTTCCTTACATTACTCTATTCTTTTCTTTCTTTCTAATTTCTCAATATTTCTTCTCTCTTTCTTTCTTTCTAATTTCTCACTACTCATGGTGGTAGGCATAATGCCATGCATAAGTGCGATGTACATGTACAAATGCAAGAAGTGCACATTTTCTTTTCTGTTTTCTATTCTTTCTTTCTTTTCTTCTCTTATGCTTTCTTATTCTTATTCTTTCTTTCTTATTCTTATTCTTTCTTTCTTGTTCTTATTCTTTCTTTCTCATTCTTTCTTATTCTTTGCCGATTGGACTCGGTTGAGGCATGGATTCGGAACCCTGGCCGTGTGAGTGTATTCTTCTTTCTTGGGTACAGCCCTCATCCACATGCACTCTTATGGGCTATACCAATTCTTCTTCTTATTCTTAGGCCGCTCACTGTGAAGGCGGCGTGCATTGCGGGGAAATTCTTTTTGTCACTTATGGGTTCCCTATCATAACAACCTGTTCTTTTCTTCTTTTAGAGTATTCTTTAATAACTTTTCTTTCTTTCTCTTTATTCTTTAAGTTCTTGTACATATGTATAGGCATGTATGTAGATGGCTCATACTCATAATTCTCTTTAAATGCAAATGTTTAAATGCAAGGATGTCATGTAACATAAAAATAAGTTTCTCTCTACTATCTATAGACTCATGCCAATTCATAAATGACTAAAACTCATGCATACACTTCTCTTGGACATTTCATCAAACATATTGCATGCATAATCAAATTCTAATTTGGCTACAATTCTTTGTCTTTCTCAAGTCACCAATAGTTGGAGTAAAACTCTATTTAAACAATTACTAAACCTGTCTAAAACAATACACTCCCAAAAATTCTACTCAACTCTTTCTAACTTCAACCCAACTTCAATGAATCATCAAACAACAAACACCAATTCTCATGGCTAAATTATAATAATCAATAATCATCAAACTCATCAATAATTCATCAATTTCATCAACAATTCTCAAAATCATAAGCATATACACATATGTAAAATCTATACACCCTTGATTTCTCAAATCATAACTTGGGTTGGATTTACTTACCTTGTGCTTGAGTAATTCCACTAGAATCTCTCTTTCTTTGATAGACTTATTCTTTCTCTAAACCTAAGCATAAACACTATAAGAATTCAACACTTTTAAAAATTAATGTCACATCTATTGCAAGAATTATTACCTTTGGGTGCTTAGGATCAAATCTCTACCAAAATCCAACCAAAAGCCCTCTAAAATCCCTTGGAAATTTTGATGAAGAGATGAAAGAAATTGAGAGTGGAAGTGGCGTGAGAGGAAGTAGAGAATGATAGGGTCTTTGTGCTTGAACCCTTACTATCTCATATTAATAGGCATACTTTCCCATTTTGCCCTTGCACTTTATAGAGAATTCCATCTTTGTCCCTTAGTCATTTACACTAATGCCCTTACCTTCATTACATTCTCCATCAAATTTCCTTATTTTTCACTTCCCACATTTTCAACTAATTAGGGGTAGAATGGTCACTTTGCCCCTAAGGAAGATTTCTCTAGAATTTCCTCAAAAATTCCAACCAACTCTTCGCCTTGGTGAAGTTTTTTCTTCACCTCGGTGAAAAACTCCAGAGAGTTCTTTGCCTCGGCGAAGTCTAAAATTTTTGACACAAATTTGAGCAAAAAGTTCATTACCGTGGCAACAAAATTCCTTTGCTGCAGTGAAGTTTGCAAATGTCGATTTTTCAATCTTTCTCCTTGAAATAATCAAAACTAAGGGCATAAAAGCATAAACAAGTTACGTACCTCAATGTGAGCATTACAATTCCCCCCCCCCCCCCGGTAAAAGAATTTCGTCCCCGAAATTCAAACGAACAACTTCGGGTAACAGTTTTGCATATCTTGCTCTACCTCCCATATAGCTTCTTCGAATTTATGATTCCTCCATAGGACTTTCACTAAAGGGGTACTCTTATTTCGAAGCTCTTTAACTTTTCTGTCCAACATCTGTACTGGATGCTCCTCATAAACGAGATTCTTCTCTAAGTCCACTTTTCTATTTTTAGTATATGGGAGGGATCGCTGACATACTTTCGTAGCATGGAGACATGAAAAATATTATGCACCCTGTCTATGCTCCGTGGTAGTGCCAACCTATAGGCTACCTTTCCCACTCGTTGTAAAACTTCAAATGGACCAATGTATCTCGGTGCTAATTTTCCCTTGCCACCAAAACGCATTACCCGCTTATTGGGGGATACTCTTAGAAAAACTTTATCACCCACTTCGAACTCAACATCTTTTCTTTTCAAATCTGCATAACTTTTCTGTCTATCTTGGGTCATCTTGGGCTTGCTTCATTCTACGTCTGATCAACTTGACATCTTCTATCATTTTCTGCGTTGTTTCCGGCCCAATAGCTGTATGCAAAACATCTTTCTCTCCTACCTCATCCCAATGTAGTGGAGATCTACACTGTCTACCGTACAAGGCCTCGTAAGGAGCCATCTTAATTGTAGACTGATAGCTATTATTATAGGCAAACTCCACCAAGGGTAACATCTCATGCCAGGACATTATATAATCCATGCAACATGCTCTCAACATGTCCTCAAGTACTTGATTCGTTATCTCAGTTTGGCCATCTGTCTGAGGATGATAGGATGTACTAAATGCCAACCTGGTATGCAAGTTCCTCTGTAAACTGGTCCAGGAAGCTGAAACAAATCTGGAATCTCTATCTGACACTATTGTCTTGGGCACCCCATAAAGTCTAACTATCTCTTTAATATAAATATGGGCCAATTGATCCAAGGTAGTACTCTCCTTTACTGGAAGAAAATGGGCTAATTTTTTTAATCTATCTATTATGACCCAAATGGCATTAAATCCTTTTTGAACTCGTGGGAGACCGATGATAAAATCCATTGATATACTCCCCCATTTCCATTCAGGAATGCTAAGTGGCTGAAGCAATCCTGGCGGCCTTTGATGTTCTACTTTCACCTGTTGACAAACCAAGCACTTAGCTACAAAATCTCTGATATCCCTCTTCATACCTGGCCACCAATTGCCCTTTTTTAAATCTTGATACATTTTGGTTGCTCCAGGATGAGTAGTGTTAGTGAACGACACACTTACGCAGCGAAAAGCAAAAACATAAATGACATGCATCGTTCCTTAGAACCAAGATTCGAGTATAATATCACAGTTTATATAATATATAAATTAAATCTACAGAAAATCAGATTCAAATTTCAATAATCTTACGCACGTATGGAGGCTCCTCCAACTTTGTCCTTGAACGTTTTGCTACCGACCCAAGTGTAGGATCGAACTGACGTCGTCCACACGAAGATAATCGCAAGGAACTAAGGAGGGATTTGCTAGATCCTCCTTAGCCTTAAGAAACAAAGAAGAAAATGAGTATTTGATTTTGGCTAAACCAAATCTGGCATGGGAGAGAAAATGGGGCTATAGGGTTTTTCACCTTTTTAATGAATAGTGAATGAATGAAAACTATTAACCTTTTTCAATTAACACCTTTTCTTTTATAGTGTTATTTTACTTGCCCTATTCCCATATGGAATGGGCTTGGGCTCCAACCCAAACACCCCATGTTCCCAAACACCCCTCTAATTAGATATTTATTTTAATTCATCATTATCTTCAATTAAAATCAATTAATATTATATATATATATATATATTAACATTTAACAATAATGATAATTTATTTAAATATATGCGAACACATATTTAAACGTAATTTTACTTATTTAGTTTTTCTAATAAATTAAATAAAGGCTACGACCTCAGCAAATTTAATTGCACTATAAAATTACCAAAATACCCTTTTACCTAAAAAGACGAGAATGCCCTTCTTTGTTCTTGGCTCTTAAATTATCTTCTATGTGTGTGACCCATAGGCTCCTCATCATACCGGCAGTGTATAGTATCGCGATTAAC